TGTTTTTGCTCTTACCTGTTTCTTGTGGATTAAGATTTTTTGTGAATTATTTTTGACAGTTAAAACTAAGTGTAACTCAGCTGCATGTATGTAGTATATTTTCAGGTAACTTGGTTTACTTTCAATTTCATAATGTTATGTTTAGACCAAGTTTAAATGTGATTTGTAATTGATGAATGTAGCTTATTATCCAGTACAAACGTCATTAATTAAATCTTATCTGCCGATATTTTTTGTTGATATAACTTAATTGTTATTTGTTAATTATAATTTCCTATTGATTGTTAATTCAATATTGTGTCTTAAATCTAATTTGTAATCTCCAGATTGCTAGAATGATGAACATAGCTAATATCTAATCTAGTCGTTAGTAATAAAATCAAAAACAAAGTATTCTCTTTTCTTATTTGAAACTACACGTTGCATCAATCTCTCAGGCCATGGTTTTGTGTTAAGTAAAGATACGATTCCAAATTAGAAGAACAAGATTTAACAATTAAGTAATGAGATATATGTCAAAAACACCAATGAAGTAAGGCAATGTTCATCCAGGGATACCGTACGAAATTTTAACCAACGATACACGTGGTTGTACATTGTAGGATAGAGAGGTTTTAAGTTCTTTCTCACATGACACATCGCTTGCAAAGAGCAAGTGATCTGAAAACAGTAATAATAACCTTTTTAAATGGCTGACAAAAGTGAACTTTATTAACTCATCAGAAAAAAAATAACTCTAGGTAGTCTAAAAATAGTAATGCAGTCATTTTATTTCTTTATTTCTGCACTAAATTATTTCGAAAATCCATCGTTTCAAATAAGATAAACAAAAGTCACAATCAGGCTCCATAGGTTGAAACTTGTAATTCAGGTAAACAAGGTCAACATTGTCGGCGTCCAGTTCCTCCTTATTGAATGTAATGGACAGAGGCTCGGTTGACGGAGAATAATGGCACCTGGATTCGAAATACTTTGTATAATCTGGATAAACGTGAGGATAGCAGTAGACAAATGTAGAAAGTTTTATTATTTCCCCTGTTATATTAAGTCCGAAAACAAATTCCTCCGAAATTACACTGCCTTGGTCACAATTCTGAACAAACGAAGAATACGTCGCCTTCTGGTCTACTGATGAACTGTTTATTCCAACTAAGCAGTTGGTTGCAGAAATTTTGTTCTGTGCATTATGGTTAACTACTTCGTACAAAAACATATCTAATGATTCTGATACGGATGTTGAATGCAGGGTAAGTTTTGTCATAAACATCTCTAAGCCAAAGTTCAGTTCAATTTCAAATTCTGCTGAACCTTTCTTTGAACCCGAAACTGAAATGGAAAAAAATCTTATTTCAATAAACTAGAGATGTGTGTAAAACCTTTATCCTTCCTCCGACAAAATAATTTAATTTTTGTAAGTCCAAGGGAACATAACTCTGTCAAAATAGGGTAAATAGTACCCGAATCAAAAATTGACGTAGATATTTTAATGATCAATCTGTACATAAATTTCATTTCAAATATGTGCAACCTCTGCGAAGAAAATGAACGGAAACTGTCGGTGGACCGACCGATAAACAACAGCAAAGTAATACGCATTACCTTCGTCGAAAGGACAAATAAAATGGAATTTACAGAAATCATTAAAACTACGAACATTGACCAACAATTTGTAGAAAATCGAGATGTTGTAGATAATGAATTGATAAAACTGAAATCGATTACATAGCCCACAATTCTAGTAAATAAGATTATTTTCTGACCCAAGCGTAATGAATAAATGCCAATTCGTGTATACTAGTGAACTCGAATTTGAATAAAATTTCCCTGTGTTATATGAAAGTAAGATACATTGATTTTTACGATAATTCAACTTAAAAATCATGTCATTTTTCATATTTAATCCAAAAAAAATATGTCGTATCCGGAATTTAGTAGATAAATTAAAAAAAAAAATCTTTGATATTGTACATGTACTTTTAATAAAAAATAAATGATTTTAAAACAATAAAAATAAAACACTATGAAGATTATAGACAAAATAAATAATGTCTATCTAAATAAAAAAAAATATCAACAACAAAAAATTACAATGAGTGTGTCATAATCAAAATTATTATACTTCTGTTAAACTGTTTCCTTTATAGAGTTCAGAGGGTGAAACAACTTTTAAAATCTTTCATAGTACATGCATAGCAATGTTATACCCCTGGGTATACTTTTTGCTATCCACCCTCAGAAAATTTTCATACAATTTATGCCGCCAAATTTGATTTCCAGTGATAAATCTATTGACTGATAATGTCATAGTGACTTCAGTAGCATTGTGACGTCATCATATTATTCTTGCTCTATTATCTTACTCCAAAAAAATTCAAACCTCAGAAATTATATCATGCATCACTATAATAAAACTCTTATCCACTGTTTGTGAGTAGGATAGCTCTTTAATCAAATCCTTGTCAGGAACTATCCCCTCGAGCAAGCGCCTTGGAAATAGATTCCTGTCGAGGGTTTGATATAATAGCTATCCGACTCACAACCAGTGGATAAGTGTATAATATATGTATATAATCAAAATTCATCAAATATTTCCATGAGTGTGACATAAAAATAAGCAATATTGATTGTACTTACCATTTCTAAATTTCACGACTTTTCCATAATTTATTTTTGCTGTCGTATCTTGTGGGCACTGGAAACTTCCATACATAGTAATTCGTTTTTCCTCTGTGTATTTCGATACATTCTGGTAGAGAGTCTTTATATTCGGCGATTGCAGATCACGTACTGTTTTGCAACCCTTTCAGAAAATATTTATTGACATGTATTCTGAGCACCCAACCTTGGAGATAGTAAATCCCTAACAGTTGGCTTAATCTGATTCCATTCAAAAATTTAAAATGGCACAATTCCTCATATATACTTTAAGCAAACCAAAAATGCAAATTTAATCTAAATTTCATGAGGATAGGCTAATATAAAAAGACTTAACTGAAAGTGCGGAAACCCTTATACATCAAATGGCCGTGATTTTGCCAAAGTCACTGCTTGGGAATGGAATGCAAACATGATTTGTAACTCATAAATCTGCTCTAAAATATTAAAAGTCAGCTCAATGTGCAGTGTGTATCCAAAAAGTCTAGAAAACTTATTCGGACTGACCGACAGACAAACACAAAGAACGCCATGTAAAATCCTTTCGTTCCATTAGGTATCAACAGTATTGGGGTAATGGATTTGTTTTACGCTGCAGGCAGATTGAAGTCGTTCAAGTTTGTATTTTATCTATCGTCAAAATATATAATTATTGCGTGTTATTCAGTTTCACAGACACACAACCATGAATGTTGTTCTTTACATTTCATTTTTCGTAGAATTATCTAGTGTTAACTTTAGGATTGTGTAAAAAATGAATTTCAGAAATTCACTTTTTATACTTAAAAAAAATCGCTTGCAGTTTATCGAAAGAAAACATACCACTTAATCATTATTAAATATAATTAATGATAAAGTTAGTTAAACTTACACAATGATAAATGCAAAGCATCAACCATATTCCAAGAACAGCAAGGGTAATCTTACTTTCGAAGATGGTACACTTCATACCTTCGGCAAGTACTGATACAGTTGTAGACAATATCTAAAGATAGCGTTAGTTTGTATACAAAACTCTGAGATATCTGCATAATCACACATTGTAAATCCTAATAAAAAATAGCATTTAAAGGTCAAAGATGGAAATTTCGGTCAGTCGGCAATATATGTGTAGCCGTAGCATTCATTTAATTCCCTTTAAATTGAGATTGTTACACTACAATAACTGTTAATACATGTATAGCGATTATAATTAAGGATTTCTATCCCTTATAACACCAAATTATCTATCGTATCTTTTGAACTCCATAAAGTGCATAATACTCTAATATTAAATTAAAGCATCTTGAAATAGAAAAGGATTTACCCAGAGAATTAAACAAATAATAATTAACTAAGTAAATAATTAGTAGAAAACTGATAATTGAAGACTGAATGGAAGTAATCTATTTTTTTTTTCAAAATGAAAATTCAAATAATAAGAATAATCATTAAATTCTGTGTTTGATATATGCAATACAATTACAAATAGAAACAATTGAAACTTAATTCTTTTAACAAATAATGTTGATATAATAGCTTTTTTTAATTTAAAAACTAAATGACTCCTACCAAACATTCAAGGTAATGAATAAGGACATATTTCACCCTTATATCCTAATAGTATTACAGGAATTATGTCAAAATACATTAAGTATTGAACATCTAAAAATATGTGAGGTATTCAATTTCATTGAATTTCTTGCAATTAGTGATATCATGTTTTAAGGAATTTTCAAAAGCTACCTATAAAATCTATTTCTAGATCAACGGGCAAATTAAAACCAATTTTCAAACAATTAATTGAACCGTTTACAGTAGCTCAGCGCTGGCTCCGTGATCGAGAGGTCGTGAGGTCGAATCTCAATGCGACCTCAGTCGATAGAAAAATTGTATGGATTGTTCCTTAGCCATGTCCTCGGCATTTCAAAATAAATGACAATTGTTAGTCTTTTGATCAGAACTATAGGCATCTGCAAGATAAAGATTCTTACTTTTTAATGGGCCTGTGTGCCGGTTAGAGGTATATAATTAAATTATCTTTACGAAGGAAATAGAAATTAAACCAAAACTGTCTCACGCTACGAACATCAAGCAGTGTTAGGATCAATGTTTGCAAGATGACAAAGATAACCAGCTTAATTTTGTACAAGCTGATCTATATTTGACTATCTAACCTGTGTCTTCACGACAAAAAAAATCAGTGCAAGAACTAATATTACTGATAAATTTGCGAAATGTTTCGCAATGGAAACCACAGTCGCCCCCTTAATTCAAAAGAACACAAACATGTTAAATATAAGTTAAATTACCTTAACTTTTCAAATAAATAAAAAGACATGAATTTGTAAATAGCTGTGCTTTATTTTAGTTTTTCTTTTAGATATGCTTTACATGAACGATTTTTAACATAGGTAAAATATTTGAAAATTTCAGTATCGTTGTGGTTAATTTAAATCAGTTTGGGGTTCTCAATGGTCCATTTATTTGACTTTTCGTATCGTCTTCTGTGATCATCGCCTTCTCATTTCATATCTTCACTACAAAATATTCTTTCATGGAAAGACGAAGATTCTGAAAAAAATATCTATATATAAAGAAATGGTGTGGATTAAACTGGATATATATCAGAGGATAGCTTGTAAATTCATTAACTCTGCTGTTTTTTTTTTACTTAATTGATATCTTCTAGATTTAAGGTGAACTTTAATACCTGTATTACAATGAGTAACAGTTATGATTAAAAAATAATTAGAAAGTATATGTTATCTCAAACGTATGACGTAATCATAAATAATATATTCATATTACATCACAATTATGCATTGAACATTTTACAGCTGTGTACACTCAACACACTTCTTTTTATTGCGCGATTGAAGGGTTAAATATTACATCATATAGACCTACGCAGTGTGATTCAGACGTTATACAAGCATATTGGACGAGATGAATCATCATCTTGGAACTAGGACTGTTTGCCTTCATGGCTTTCAGAGTAAAATTGAATAATGGTGTAAAATAAGTAGAATATATGAATTAGAATTACAACTTATGCCCTGATCACAGGGAGTGATTAATATGAATTTAACGTAAGTTACTGCAAATTAAATTTGAACCGAGTTCAGACGGAGACTTTAATGCGAATTAGTTCAATTCGACTTAATTTACGGTGTAATAAATAACTAAGCATTAGTTCCATGTGAATGTCAAATTTTGACGAAATGGCAAAATTACGTCACATTTCACATGGCGGTGTTCAGCTTTAGGTACTTGTTCTATATTTGAGTGAAAAACTAAGGAAAAATGTGTTTTTTTTATCAATATTTACGCACAATTAGAATTTCTCGCAATCCTGGAAGAGTTTACTGAAGTTTCATGGGGTCTGGTTTTCAAAATCCCTAGGAAAGAACAAAGGCATCAATGGGTTACGGAGACGTTTCTAGTAAACATTCCCCAATAGAGTGTGATACGTGGTGTCAAAAGGACCTCGAATGGTTTCCATCCAACCATGACGAAAACGTTGACACGAAACAGTCACTTAGAGAAAAAGCTATTCCTCCTGCTACCTATTTAATCGTAATCCTACTACCACAAAAAGGGTGTTGATACTGTAGACATCATACTCAATACTATCACCCCAAAACTGAAAGAGATCTATTGCGTAAATTTGGTGTTTAAGTTGGTAAAATTTATGACATGTTCCTCTCACGTGTGCATGCGCATGACGTGTGACTAATTTATTGGCTTGATTTCCCATCCAAGCATACCCAGAGTTTGAAAGATAAACACTCTGATGAATTCCATGCAAAGAAGAATCAAGGATGTAGCAGATGCGTGGGGGAAACATTAAAGAAATGAATCTTTTCGATTTTCACTTTTGGGCTATCTTCATATAAATTTCAATGAATCATGAATTTTAAGAGATACTCAAATTGGATTGGGTTACATTTTCTTTAAAGATGATATTAAAAGGTAGATAGGAATAATGACAAAAATGCATTTATTCACCTCATAAGTGTACTCTGCGTTTTTTTTCCCTTTCAGTTCATTTATTAGTTAATAAAAAATGTTTTATTTTGACTCAAAATTATCCTTTTCAATTTCATGATATAACACCATTCTGTTTTTTTTTTACTTTGTGTAACTCAGTGCAATAAAAAAATTGCCTCAAAATTCTAAGTTTGTCACTGTACCTATGTTAAAGGTATCGGATTCCCTTGCCGTTTGGTGTACAGATTGTAGTCTGGGATCACCGGGAACTTCCAATTCCAATGTTGACAAACCCGACGCTAGCTGACCTCTCTGATTATCTGTCCCGATGATAATCTTGATGGGGACATGGATATTTTTTCCTAAAGAGTTAATTGGAACAGCAACTAGCTGTGAAAAAATAAAATGTTTCTTATCCTAAACAAATACATGAATTTTTGTTGTTCTTTGTATTGGTTTTATCCTCAAGAAAGTAAAAAAGTACTTCTACAAAGTAGTCGACGTCTTTTGAGGATTCTTCAAGATTTAATGGAGGTGAGGCTGGTGAAATAGAAAATTCTCCCGTCCAGGATTCAAATCGTCCAGGCTGCACTCTTTGGTGCTTCACTTTCTCAAGGACTTTTTCTGACGTTCTGAATGCTTTCTTGGTACGATAAGTAGATATCTTTAATAAAGAGAATCATCTTGACTTATTTCTTTTCTTTCTGTTTAAAGAAAAAACCCTACATGGTTACCAGTTATGTGCCTTAAATACTTTTTCAAACTCTGAAAACATATACACATTGTATTCTTGACCTCAAAGAATTAAATAAAACAATAAAACAAAATGCTTTGAAATTTAAGTTCTTGCATTAATTGAGATAATATTGATCTGAAAACTTGGTATTATCAATTACTTTATTTTTTACACACATACCTGATAAAATTTGACATGGTTTTTGCAAATTTTTCCACTGAAATTTTTAATTTCCGCATGGAAAGAAATTGTTTCTCCAGGGATATATCCAGATTTGTCTATCTTTAATTTGCAAGTAATTGTTCCTGATGTACAACAAAAGCAGCATAATATATATTTATCTTCCTGTTTTTGGATCCCACACTAAATAAAGAAACAAAAAATGCAAATTATTTAAATTGAAAACCAAAAATAAAAAAAAAATCTATTTTTTTTCAAACTAAAGAGAACTTAATTCGATCTTTAAATAGATTTAGTTCATCTAGACGAAGTCGAGATCAGCTGACGCTAAACTTCCGGTATTGGCGTTAGCCTTCGCATCCTAGTTCAAATTTTTTTGAGCAATTCCGTTCTCAAGTAACTATAAGCCCTGTTGGAACCAGACTTGTATGTATGATGTATCTAGTGGCTGATACTACCTATCTTGCTTAGAATTATTTATCTGATCTTCATTTTCCAGATGATTTACCAAGTACATATAGATACATATTACTGTTCCAATTCATTAAACTATAATCCCTATCTTAATGGAACTTGAATGGAAGATGCATCTAGGGATTGAAAATACTTAACCTGCTTCGTATGCTGAATCTGACCTAGATTTTCCAAGCAAGAGACAATAGCCCGGTTTTTTTCTAGTTCTATAATAAAAGGAAACGTTACGATTCAACTTCCATTAATAATGCATCTAAGGAATGTAAGAAATATTTTTTCAATCATAACTGAACATGTCATATTCCGCAAAAAACTATAAAACCTACTTAAAAGAACTAATATGATAATTGTTGTCAGGATGTACTCGTACTAGAAAGAAAATATATTGTGAGGTTTGCAAGTCTTATACTGATAAGATTCGCCAAGGCAACTTATGTAATCTTTGATAACGTCAAATGTTAAATTTTGATTCTTTTCCAGTTATGGAACACATATCAGTTGTACTGTCCTAACTCTTTGTCATAATTTGATATGCAGTTGATCACTATCTGACCAAGACACTATAATTTAAATAATTTCAGGTTTATGAAACGAAAACAATAAAGACAGTTTAATGTACATTCACTGAAGTAATAAGGTTTATACTGGCTTGTTATTTTCTTATAGTTTCCTCTATACCATTCAAAATAGAAAATGATTTGCATCATTTAACATAATTGCAAAAGCCATGAAAAATAAGATTAAACCCACAGCTGAATTTGGAGCTCTGTTCAAATCTAAACCTGACACAATTGTAAAATGATGTTCCGTCTCATGTATCTTTTTCTTGGACGTTTCAATGATGCCTGATACAATATATCGCACTAAGCCGTGACTTCCTTGAAACGTTGATGGCAAGTTCTTTGGAAGAGCAAAAGAAAATGAATATACGTATTTTCCAGGAGGAAAACATTTTTTATTACCCATCCCTGCACCTACAATAAGAAAAAAAAAACGAGAAAAATAATAAATATTATTATGAACAACATGTATATACTATTTACTTTATATACTGAAATATATAATATATTACTGAAATAAATTTTATAGATAGAATTTCTGAAGTATTAGAAAGAGGTTAAAAGAACAAACTTTTTTTATTCCATAGAAGTAAGCACGCCCATTCACACAATAGAACAATCCAAGGTAAAGTTTTGAGCTTACTGAATGACATTAGGCACGAAATTAGCGATTCACTCTTTTCGTAGAATATAAATGGACTGATAGAGTAGTTCGGAAAAGCAGCATAAAGGATACATGGACACTTTGGAATGGTGAATCACATGAAATATTGTTTTATGCAAAAAGATTAAAGGAAGTAAACATCAGTAATATTATTCTTTTCACTGAAAACTGTTTCTTTTAAAATGCAGGTAATTACATGTAATTCCAATCTAAATCAGCTTGCACAAAATCTAGCTCTTTAGGCATGATCTATTAATCTATTAATTTCGGATCTTGCAAATATCAATCCTTATACAGTCTGACGCCTTGACGTCAGGCAATTAAACTGGTTTTTTTTAAGTAAATATAAGAATTCGTTCCTAGTTTGGTAAAACTTTTTGAAGTGTAAATATATATTTTCTTTCCTCTGGATTTATTTGTAGGAAACATTTTCAATGTTGATATATTTTATCAGTAAAATTTGCAAATATTTTCGATTCAAAGTTTTTTAGGAGTGTAAATATATCTTTTTGTTTCTCTAGAACTACCTTTTCCATACAATAGAACATTTTGGTCCAGATAAAGTTCAGGGGCTGTAGACAAAGAGCTGTACGTTCCCCATCCGTGTCTCTTGACTTTATTCCACTGAACATCAGCAATACCTTGAAACGTCACTCGTATGTCTTGAAAAAAGTATGTATTATTTTTTCTAACTGGAGAGAATCTGCTGACAGAAGATAACTAAATCGAGGATTGTAAATTAAGTATTTTTTTTATTTATCCAGTGTTGTAATGTGTATGGAAATTGACTAGGAATATGCCACATGTGCCATGCACCTGAAAGTGTCGGGGTTCAAACGGTCTATCAATCTATCTGGTAAGGTAGTCGCTTTAAAAGACATTTAAATTTCATGTCATTAAATCCTGATATTTCCAGATACATGATCACATAAGAACACTTTAAAACAAGCTAATTTCTGTTTTCAAGATAATGAATCATATACCAAATTTAATGATTTGTTAAAATATGCCCTTGTTTCACACTATAATTATTCTTTTATTTGAAATATATCCAAAACATACTGACATACATGTACATGTAAAATAGTATGGAATAGAACATTAAAAGTCAACGTTTAGCATTACAACCTACTTTTATATGTTATATGTATATTGGATACTCTTCGTTATCTTCATATATTTCATATCAAATAATACCTTCGCGTAAGCTAAATGGTATGTCAGTTATTACATCGTTATACATTCATTCAGAACAATAAAGAAAAATTGTACTAGAATTTTACATTTTGTAGCAAAATTAAAAAAAAATAAATGTACAAAGAAATATTTACCTTTTACAATCATTTCCTTTAATGATTCTACAAAAAGAATTCCATTTATTTTTTGACCTGGGTAGTATACAGCTTGTGGATGTTCAAGCTGTATATAAAAACTTTTGAGTTTTCCCATTGTACTCCTTTTAAAAATCAAATTCTAAACACTGTTAGGCAGGGAAATCATTTATGTCTTCCCCTGCAAGCGTTAACTTCTAACGCTCTCACGAAATTTCTAGAGTATACTCATAATTAATTTTTAAACATCCAAAAGACTTGTCAATTTCAACTAGTATGGACAAATTCCAACCGCGTATAATGCAAATTTAAAGCTATCGACGTTTAAAACGGAATTCAAAAATCTCCCATTATTCTGTACATTTAAACCAAACAAATGCTTTTTCATGCACGTTGAACCATTCACTGCAAATAAACACGAAGCATTATATTTCTTCTTTTTCAATTGATCTGCTGTAAACGTTTGAAAAAAAAATATCAAATATCGTTGGGTTTTAAATCCAAAACATATTTATCTTCAACATTTAATCTTTTTACGAGACACTGCAAGAAAACTGTTATATCTTCTACCCTCTGGTCTTGTCTTAGATAGAGAAAAGAATTGCAAAACAAAGCTTTTGAATGTTTGTTATTGGCCTTGACGTTTTTATTTTCTACCCTAAGCTCTTACCCCCCCCCCCCCTAAAAACTCTTTAAAATACGAAAACAAACCTAAAAAGGAACAATTAAAAAATAAAATCAATTCTTGAAGATTCATGAGGTTATGGGCTACGACGGCATATTCCAAAATGCTTTCCTACAGGGTGAAATAGCAAATCACCCTATTTTGTGGTATTTTTAAGGACTGTTATATGATGTATATTTTGTATGATGTAAAAGTAAAATTTTCCCGTACAAATTAGGCTCCGCCCCCTTTTTGTAACATTAACTGTTAAACTGGAAATAACTTGTATGCCTTTATAGACCGATATCTATGCGCTTTTTTATTATCCATCATTCGAATAAACAGTAAGAATGATAAAAAAACTACGCCCCTGTCTTATTAAACAAAGATACATTTCTAGTCTATTTAGACTCCTTCCTATTGACCCGGGGACGTTTCCTTGCTCGGTTTTTATTTTAAACCTTATTTTGGTGAATGTCCTCCTTTTGGTTGCTCTATAGTTTAAAACGTGTGCTACATTTAAAGAAAAAAAAACATGCGACAACCCTTCGTTTGATTGAACAAAATCGTTCCAAAATTAAGACCTTAGTCCGCTACTTTGATGCTCCCCTTTTTGCGGGCCTTGCAAACACTCTAGTGTGCAAAACCCTTATGTACACATTTAGCACAACTTTGTAAAACACTCGGCATTCCTTTATCAGAGAATTAAAAAAACCGTAGGTCCTATAATATTTTTAACATTTTAAAGGTTATGGATTAAAACCATAAGCAAAACCATTTTTTTTCCTAAAGATAAATATATGACGCCCTCTAAGCCCAACTACAATATGTTGCCTCGAGTCCAGATAAGTCGGATTTTTGCATTTAATTTTAAGGCAATATTATCGGGGACATTATTTTGTTGGCGATTTTATGACGGCCTTTCACGATGAAACAAACAATACTGTTATATTACTGTTTTAAGGGCACTTCCCGAAGATGTAGATATATGGTTCGAGTTCCAGTCTGACTTTTATGGAACTATTGTATTTCCAGATATTCACTGGTCAGATAGGTACGCGATCCACATATCATTCGATAGCTCTGGCTCTCTTGGTCCTGGGGTCATATTCGGTACACCATGGTCCTATTTACAATTAATGGCCCTTAGAATGTTCACATCATGACTGTAGAGATCTGACGTATGTGGAGTTAGTCTGAGTTGCTCTTACAATTAAAAATAATCGGAATAAGTATGATGGATTGAAATAGGTTTTAAACAACTCTATCAAATCATAAAAAGTGTAGCCAATCAGAATTGACATTTTAGCTAACCAAATGATTAGAATTATCATCCGATCAGTAGTTATTAGGCAAGGGAGAAACAGTATTAATAAAGGGATCAATCAACCTTCGTTGAAATTTTAGCTAGAAGCAAATTTAGCAATTTGTCCAAAAAAATCGGTTTTTTATTTTAAGCGAGAATTAATATTTTAAAATTCTCACTTAAGACGCTATAAAAATCAAGCACAGTTTATTTGAAGTGATATTCAATTTTAGTGATCTCAGCACCCTCGGTAAAAATTAAATCCTCGCTAAAAATTCTGCTTACACGTAACGATTTGTTGCAGTTAAGTGACTTTGGAAGGGTACCTGGGCTGTGTCGGGAAACAACAGAATTTAAGTTAGATCACTCAGCTCAGAGACCTGGGGCTCGTAACATAAAGCTTGCTAAGTTTTTGACTTAAGTAGGGTCGTAAGTAAGGTTTAGGCACAATCTTAGGACCTGTCTAAGTACTACTTAAGTATGTCTTAAACCGTAACATAAAGCGAACTTAGCGAGGTCTTAGCTAAGTCAAACTTATGTTAAAAATATTTCATATGAGTCAACCTATGTTTTTTTTTTATTCTATGTAGATATATTGCTAAAAGTGATTCAGTTAGGGTTTTAATTAGTTACATATTATAGTTGACGTCCTTGCCTATCGGTTTAAGTCACGTTAGATTAGATTTCGTATCAAAATTATAATTATGTTATAAATTATTCGGAATGTTTGGAAACAAATACCACACGGTCAGAAAGTGGCGATTTGCGGTTCATTGTAAATGTACGAAAATTGTTTTATCACCTGAGGTGTTTTCAGTTTACATTTTGTAACTCTTTTGTTTTGAAAAGTGTTCACTTACACTGTTATTATCGCAGACAAGAAAAGATAATCGACCATCTATCTACTTAAACTTGAAAGTTCAATACATGTTGAATTCCCGCTATATATTAGGCCATGCATGTCTGAAGCAAACACTGCAAAAGTTTAATGATATAATCATTTTCAATTTAACAAAGGTTACCAAAAAAAAAGCGGGATATTTTTTCGTATGTCTCCACTTATCAACAATTCTCTCTCTCTCTCTCTCTCTCTCTCTCTCTCTCTCTCTCTCTCTCTCTCTCTCTCTCTCTCTCTCTCTCTCTCTCTCTCTCTCTCTCGAACTGAAGTCAAATTCAGTGATCAGCCCGCCCCCCCCCCCCCAACGAAAAAATAAAATGCTTAAATCAGCGTCAAATAGAGATAATAATTTTTTTAATGCATAATATGAATAGAGGAATGTTTAAACATCGAAGATCAACATTAAATAATTCTAAATATATGTACAAGAAAGTTAAGATATACTTAAGTCACCTCTACTGGCCGCCTAAGTTTTGCTAAGATTGCCAAATCTTAGCACGCTTCTAGTTACGGTCTTAAGTTTTAAGCTGTACTTAAGTCCAACTTAAGTACGGTCTTAGACTTAAGCAGCCTTTATGTTATGACCCCCTGGTTCCCCAGTGTCTAGCTATTGTGACTAGCTATGGTGTCTGTGAGACTTAAGCTTGTATCTTACCAAAAGTTGTACAGTATCCTGTTGATAGCTATGGTGACAAGATGACTTTAGCTTGTGCTTGTGTGTTTTGAAAAGTATTGGTGACTTTGAGATTTTAAGGGTGTGTGTTAAGTAGTTGCAGACTGTGTCGGCAAACATTTTAACCACTCAATCTGCAGCTACAGTGATAAGTTCATATGTACTTGATCATTGATTTGATATACGATTGTTGTATCTTTTGTAATATCTCGTTTTTAATTAGTTTACTAATCATTGTCCAGATAGGAGCAAGGAAAAGTATTTATATATAATTGTATATATAGTTGTTCGCCATAGATATCAAAGTTATTTAATTTTATAATTCATAATAACGAACCCAAAACGAACCCAATTATTTATCTTTTGTACTTTGTAAAAACGTAACACAATTGACTTATGGGGTTACAAACTCCAAAGTAAAGAAAAACAAATCTTGCATATTGATAACTTAGCTGTTAATTGAGATAATTAACAAAAAACATTAAAGTCACTAGGTGTTTCGTCCCTTCTCAAGCTATTTCTTCACAGAACATTGAAATACAGGGTCCAACCTGTTGCAAACATATACCACGTCATTCTTATTCTATTGCTGATGCCATATCACGTTTTCAGTAATAGATATCTCCCCAAGCAGACTTCTATTCCTTCCAAGGTTCACCTGCAATTATGAAATCATTTGAGTAGGAGTTGGAGCAGCTACTCAGAACATCAGTCTCTAAAAACACTCCAAAAATACACCAGAAAAGTCTTGACTCATTTGCACAATTTTGAAAAAAAAAATAACTTGAATGAATTGAGGTTCCCTCCTGTAAACTAATTAATAAATGATATGGCTTACCTATCATAAAATGGGACAACATACTTTACAGCCAGATCCTACCAAGCCGGCTTGAGCCTCATTGTAATACTTCTTATACCAAAGCAAATTTTCATAGTCCAGAAAATGCCCAATGTATTTAAAAAAACTTATATAAAAGAGAGATTCAAGAGTCCATTAAACATTTCACCTATTAGTCAACATAAAAGACTCTGTATAACGCGTATACTGCAATTACTGTAAACCAACTTTTATTCGCGATGACGTTATTACGCTATTAACCATGAGTAAACTAGTCATCGACAATTATCGCCATCAAGCCTTTTTTAGAACTGGTTTAAAAATAAAAAGATACTTCAAAGACCCGTTCGCGGCGAGAAATATTCGCGATGACGAGTCTCTCGCACACATGGCGAAAATTTCTCGTGTGTAAATTAAAGTTTGTTTACAGTATTATGAACGGTTACTCCTCCTCTCTGCACATGGCCTTGCATTCTTTACTTTACTTTGAGGTGGTGTGATACATGTAACGACCATAAGGGGAAACCCCTACAGTTCCCATTATCAATATGAAATGTACCCATCTCTCATTCATTCGATCTGATTACATTAGGGGAAACTAGAACAGATCAGCATGGTAGGGATGCAAGGATGCAGATTAGCAGCACAAAACAAAAGGAACATTCCGAAATGTACAAAATAAATAACTATAAAGAGAATCAAAAGCTCAAACATCACATATTTTATGCAACATCGATGGCTCACATGACCCATCATCAATTCGATCAAATACTCAAGCTTGATATATTAATGTGCATTACCGTTCATTAAGCGTATTGTTTTGAAGATATTTTATTGTATAATTTATACAAAGGGATTGGTTAAGAAGTTCTTGCAGCTTAAAAAACCTCATTTCGCGTACGG